TCCTTTTTCTCGGACAACATTGGGGGGTCTCACGAGGCCGTCCTCTTTCCCCCTTTCACAGGTACGGGCGCATTCGCTATCTCGAGCATGGCCGTCATCAAGCGATTTGTGCAGTCACAGACGACATCATTTGGCAATCTGACAGCTCCATCAAGATGGGTCACCTCGCCTCGAGAGGGCGCATCCGCCGGGTTGGCGCAAGTTGGAACTCTTGCGAACCATGCCATCAGGCTCATGCTTTCTTCCAATCGAAGAATCGCCTCAAGGACGATCTGACCCTGTTCACTCTTGGTGCGAGCGCTCAACAATGAATCCCGGACACCATTGTTGTCCACAAAGAAAACAACCGGTCTCTCGCACAAATGGTTGCGCCCGCATTCAATCGCCAGCAGGACTGCAAGAAACTCGAGTTCAAAGATCAGGGTCTTCGCGCCGACATCGATGAAGTCGACCAGCGTCGACGAAGGCAACTGCTAGGCAAACCATGGCACCAGCTCCGCATTCTCATTGAACAAGATTCCTCCGACGCCAGCCTTCGGGGTCTTGGCACCTCAGGTGGCTCATAGAAGGCATCGGTGAAGGCATACAGAATGTCGTGCGATCAATCGGCCTCTTGGTTCCTGCAGCTTCTCCTGGTAACGTCGGAGGGCAAGGGACACAGAAAACGACAGCTCTGACACGAACTTGGGAGCACGTATGCGCTGCGTCAATGCCTTTAGGGCCAACACGCCAGTGCGTCCAAAGACATGGTTCTTAGCGAACCCGAGCCGGCCGCGCAGCTTCTCTGCCGTCCCTCTGTCCAATCTCGAGGCTTCGAGGCATTGGCCGATGCTGTTCATTAACTCTGAAATCTGCGATTCAGTGTTCTTGATCTCGACAATGCCCCGGGGAACACTTTCCAAGCAAATCAAAGCCCCAAGGGCCTGAATGGTGCAAGACATGTCTGTGGCTTTGTCGCCATCGCGCGCGAACGTCCAACCGGTGGCCAAAAGGATGAACTCTAGCAAGTTCCCCGAGGACGTCTTGAGTTCCTCTGGAGAGGCCAACAGAAAGTCAGCAAAATAACTCGTCACTAAGAGGCTCCCCCCGACACAGGCGATGTACCACAATGCCGCTGAACACCTAGAGAAGTGGTACACAGAGGCGGTGGCTCCGAAAGGCAAGCACTTCAAGCGAAAGGTTTCAGCACAACCAGATTCAGGGCACCAAGCAGCAATGTGGCTGAAGCGCTCAGTCTCAGGACTCAGCGGCAACTAGCGATGGCCGATTTGAGATCATAAGTCTCCCCACCAAGCGGCAACAACCGCCCTGTGTCTGTGATGAGAGCTTCATCCATGTTGACAAAGCAGCAGACATCACATCCAATGTGTGTACCTGAGCCTTCTCATGGTGGTCACGGCTTTGTTCACCAGCGAGGCCGTGAAGTCATCGATCGGCCTGACCTTGGGGTCACCGCAATTGTCAGTTCCTTGAACGACACCGAACCCCCGGGTCAATGTGCAGTCCCGCAGTGAACCGACTGCTCGAGGTGACAACGGTCCGACAAGCCAACCCTTCTTGGTCTCCTCAACTGTTTTGGCCCAGACCCCTGCATCAATCACCGGGTCGCCCGAAGACTTGATGTTCTGCAGGGTGGATCTCAACTGGGAGCCAGCAATGGCCCTGAGACCGTCCGCCGACAACAGGGCAGGAACAATGGCTTGGGGGAAAGCGCCGCATGCCGGCACCTCGCCTACAATGTCAAAGCCTCTGAGCAACTGTAGTGGGATGTCCGCATCCGCATATCCAACATCCAGAGCACGCGCTGCCACAGCAGCAGACGTTTCCCTCGGATTATATCCTTGACATCGGGGTGGCAAGCCGTGTGAAGCTCACATTCATTCTTTTGAAGATCCAGAAGATCTTTGGTCCACATGCGACACCACTCGATCCTGCCACCAATGATGTCCTGCCAATTCTTGTAATTCTTGTTGAAGTGGTCGTCAATCACATTGCGAATTTCGCTGGGCAGCAAGGCTTTCGATCCAAAGGGGTGTCCCAGCTTGCAAGCTTCTTTCACAAACTCATCGGGTTGCCACTTCACCGCCAATTTCCACCTCTTGATTGTGGGTGGATGTGAGTTGATTCTGTCGATTTCATCTGCATTTTCGTCTTCACCTGCATTGTCTTTGATGCTCGTGCCACTCTTGCTTCCCAGTTTTCGTCTTCACCTGCATTGTCTTTGATGCTCGTGCCACCCTTGCTTCCCAGTTCCCCAGTAACAAGCGGAGTGGCCGCCAGGAAAATGGTGTGGGCCGGGATGCTTTCACCAGAAGATGTAGTGAGAATAGCAGCCGGTCGCATCAACGAGGTGTCGAGATGGGGGTTCCTGAATGCTTGCTGGCACATCGATGGTGAACATGGACTTGTACTCCGGACCCACAATGGAAGTTTGCAGTCCGTCGAAGTTGTGGGCCACAGGGACAACTCCCCCCACACCGAACAGGCGATCAGCAACGATGTGGGCGACGGCGTCACACAAGCCACGAGGGTAGGCACCTCCAAGGGCACACAAGCTTTTGGGCCGCACTTCATGATGACATCGGTTGCCCATCCATTACGTCGGCCCAAGTGGACTCGATTTGCAGCCAATTTTCCTGAGATTGCAGTGCTATGCCAGCAATGTGATGGGCAACATGATCATTTGCCTTGGCGTTTGGTCTACACAGCTTCTGGCACCGTGCCAAAACAAGGAAGGTGTGGGATCTTCCACAGTGACCATGACGCCACGCTCATGACACAGGGGCCAAACCAAGGCCACCCAGGCATAATGGCGATTGGCTTGATCAACGCGAGTCTTGTTGAGGCCGGTCAAGTGGGGTAGGCCACCAGGATGCTGCATGGAACGCAACGGCGGAGGGCCGTATGAGGTTTTGCTCGCGCAAATCTCCCGAGCGCGGGAGGCTGTCCCGCATGGCGGGCCCATGTGAACGTACACCAACATGGGGAATCTCAGCCATTCAAACAAAAAATCGACATTCGTCTGGATGGTGAAGTCGAAAGTCAAAACTGGGCCGCGAACGGCCTTGGGAATATGGTGGTCAATTCCAAAACTCTGGCGCAAACCAAGTGCGCGAAGACTGGCAGTAAGCCCTGCACTGCCCGCAAAAGGCTCAAGTGCGAAAAATTCCGAGATGGGTGCCCCTGCAAGGGAGGGCGCAGGTAGTCATTCGGAGCTAGGATGATCCTGGGAGGAGTGCTTCTGCCCACACGTGGGTCGGTTGCACACATGGATCCCCTTTGGGCACTTTCCACCTGCTGGCGCTTTGGTGCATCCGTGGCTGAGATTGTAATCAAAGCAAATTGGTTGACCAGTCGATATGGTGCTCCATTGACCTTGCAAGGCACTTGGCATGGGTGTGCGGCGGGTCTTTCCCTTGCCTTTGGACTTACCCTTGGACGTGCCCTTGCCTTTGTGAGCGGCAGGAGGAGGTGAGTCTTTCTCCTTCTCTTTGGCGTCAACACTCGCACCGTTGGCAGTGCGCTTGGTGTTGGGCCGAGGCAGCAAGTTGAAGGCGACATCCGGGTGAGTCTTCAGCGAGCCGAGCAGCTGATCCAATGGCAGGCTTCCGTCCGCCTGGAGGCCAAAGTCGTGACACTGTTCGGCCATGACGATCCAAGCCTGACGATCGGCGCGAAGGATGGCAGTGAGATCGGGCTTGATGTGGCCTGGGGCGCTGTCACGGTGGAGGTGTTCGAATAGATAGGGGATCTTACAGAGTCCAACCCTGAACACACAGAAAAGAACCTCGCACGAACCCTGCAGTCAACTTCTCCCCCTTTTTTCTTTTAAGAGGTGGTGGAAAGGTCGGCCAGCCTGTAAATACTTTACACTGACCACCTGGCTACAACCTGCATAGCCAACATCAGCCGCACGCGCTGACAAACCCCATCAGCCAAGCGCTGACAAAAGGACCCCCATGCCCAAAGTTTCGATCGGGCAAGGGCGGGCGGGAGATCGAAAAATTTTGGGCGGGCCCCGCAGTTGCACACCGAACTACCCCGGTTTCTGACCACTGTGCTCAGGCCACACAGCTGCAACATCAAACGTTCTGTGTCCTGACATGTTTAAGTCCTACTTGCAAGCAAACAGAACAACCCAACAAGGACTCCACAGATCCCTCTTTTCGCCCCTCCGGTTCCCTACGGTTCGACCCGCGGGATCTTACAGAGTCCAACCCTGAACACACAGAAAAGAACCTCGCACAAACCCTGCGCTCAACTTCTCCCCCTTTTTTCTTTTAAGAGGTGGTGGAAAGGTCGGCCAGCCTGTAAATACTTTACACTGACCACCTGGCTACAACCTGCGTAGCCAACATCAGCCGCACGCGCTGACAAACCCCATCAGCCAAGCGCTGACAAAAGGACCCCCACTCGCAGAGCAAGCGCACGGCAAACCCATGGATACCCCGCACCTTTTTCACTGCCAAGGGTCAGTGGTCCGCAAAGAGGAATGCTTGGGACGCTTTGAAATGCCCTCGGCCTTCTTATGGGCTCGAGAATCACGCACTTCCTCATAAAGGTCCATTCCTGCGCGCATGAGATCTTGCAAACCAAACCCTGGAACGACCGCAAATCAAATCTTAGTCGCAGTCTCTTATCGAAGCGACTGTAGTCGCCATTTGTGAGGGAGTCCGCGTCCTCGTTCTGCAGCCGTGGCAGCCAATGTAGTCTAAGCTCCGCTCCCCTGTCTTGAAGCTGCGCGGCAAGTTCCATCAGCAAGATGCACAGAGGGAATTTTGTGGCCAGAAGCCGCGACACGAGGTTGCTGTTTCCTCTGTTGTCGGTAGCGGCTGAGCAGTGGAATCCGCATGCCTCTCCGGGTGGTACACCAAACAACGTCACCGCCGCTAGCGTTGCTAGAAGCTCCAGCGATGCGATTTGGCGATAAGCTTCGCCAGCCATGTACACCCAAGGCGCAGTAACATGGTCCAGCCGCTCGGAGAACCACCTGCACTGCTTGGTGTTCTCAGAATCTAGAGCCCAACCTGCGATCCAGACTTCGTTGCCCTCGGCTTTTGCATCAGTTCTGAAGAGCTCCTTTTCGACGGCGTGCGCCTTCCCAGCAGAAGTTAGCCTGCCGCCTCCACCTAACGCCTTCGCCAGGAACTTGAAGATCAAGGAGATCGCTCGGGGCACTTTGTAGGCACGACGATGGTCCAAGGAGGCTACCCACGCGTAAACTGGCCCCAAGAAAGGTCTGAGATGCCCAAGAGCAGTTAGCGCGAAAGACAACCGCCCCAGCACCGCACTGACATCCGCAATCTTGACGCAGTCTGCAGCCGTTGTTTTTGTGAGCCATTGTATAAGCCACTGGGCACGCTGAACAGACAGTCCGAGCTTGCTTTCTCTCAGGTTTAATTCAAGCCCTACCCAACAGAACTCACCCCCTCCCTTCAACTTACGCCAAGAGAAGGGCAATCCTAGTAACACAACGAAAAAGATTACCAGGCACACCATCTGCACACTATCTTTGTCGTTGTGCGCCAGCCACAAGAGGTCATCTACATAGACAAGCATGAAGATCTCCCTTTTCCCAAGCAAGTAAAAAGCTGCACGGCCGAGTCCCGACATTAATCGTGACCAGTGGTATGCTGCACTCGAAATTCCAAATGTACCCACTTTATTCAACCAGAGCTTGTCACGTCCACCAACACCAGTTTTGCGCGCTTGCAATCCCCAGTCGGCCGCTGCGATCTTCACGAGCCCATGCGCACGCTCCACATCTCCAGTCAATCCAAAGCATTGCCCAGGTAGCTCTTGGAGCGCAGCGCGAAGCTCGCCAGCACCCGGTGAACGTATTTGGTCACGCACCCGAATAGCAGAATTCACTGTGATCCCATTGGCGCCGTCGTGCACGACTCGATACGCGCCATCCTTCTTTTCGAGCGTGCCCAAGGAAGCAACAGCTAGCTGCTTTCCAAATTGCGCTCGGGCCTCTGCCGTGGTCACCCCGACCATGGCACCCAGCGCTGCCTCCGCCTGGAACTGCTGTTGGACTTCGCCCGCGTACTCCCTTGCAGACAAATAGTTTTCCCGCTCAGCTCCAGGCTCGCAGAACCCACTATCATATTTCCGCCACTTCTCCTTTTTCTCAAAGACTGAAGGCACCCGCGGTAGGCACACCCCAGGCACCAGACGCACACCCTTTGCGAAAGACACACTGGAAGAAAAGAAAACTCTACTGTCAGGATCGCCGGAAAGGCGGAGCAGCTCCTCCATCGCCGCCATGTAAAAGGGCTGCCCCTCTGTTCGCTCCCTCACCGGGAGCTTGGCCCCGGCATATTCCAACGCAGTAAAAAGAAGCTCACGTCCTTCAACCAACACTTCCGAACTGAACGGGTTGTCTGAGACCTTGCCCCGCGACAGCTTTGCAGCTAAGCTTACTAGGTCCACGTGCCGCACTAGGATCTTCAGGAGCTCCTTGCCAAGACTTTCGGCGAATCCCAGCGACGGCATGTCCCCGGCGCATCTCCGCCTGCTCGGACACCACCTTCCCGGTGAGCACAAGCCGAAACCATCGCAAAATGGCACCCTTTTCCCAAACATTCTAGCGGTCAGTGGGGGCCCCCTGCCCCAGACTCCATCTCCCAGCTGTGGCTTGGCGTGGCCATCTTCGTCCTCATCAGAACTGTCTTCAGCCACTTCAAAGCTACGCGGTTCCCACACGCCTTCACCAGTACGCTCCCAGCGCCAATCTTCAGCCTGAACTGTGTTCTGCCCGTCTGTAGAACTGTAGACTTCACGCAAACCAGCAGCTTCTTCACAGTCTTGTCTGCGACGCTTGGCAGTATCTTCCGAGATGGCCAGGCGCAGTGGGGGAACGTCCCCCACCGCAGGCGACGCCTGGCCGGGCTTGCCATCAGCAGATAGTCACTCATCGCGGAAGTCTCCCACACTTTTGCCCAGCTGCTTTGCATCGCGCTTGTAGCGGCACTCAAAGAAGGGGTGGCGGTGAAAGCACCGCTGGCAGACATGTTCAAATCGGCAAGTCTTGCCTGCAGCGCAGCCACTTTGCTTGTTGTACTTGAAGCAGATCAATTTGCCTTCTGGCGCGCGGGCCGCTTTTCCCCATTGGCGCTCCCACGAAGACATCTGCTTGCTTTTGCCACTGCCTTTGGCGCCCCTGCCTGCCGGATGGGGAGCAGGCGGCGGCGGGGCAGCAACCTCCTCTTCTCCTGGACAGCTTTGTTTCTTGCCGAGCGTCATAGGGATAATGAAATGCAAGTTCAACAGGTCGGTGGAGTCGATGGCTTTCTCAATGGCAGAATTCAAACAGGAACTCTTTCCATCGCGCACAAAACGGTAGGCAGCTTTACGCAGCTCAAGTTCATAGCCATCCGCCGTCAACTTCACACCTGCCACATGGGAGCCAAGCACATGGTCCGAGAGCAGTCGAAAGGTGTCCACGCATGACTGTGGTAGCCAAGTTCTGGTCGAATGACGGGTTCGCGCAAAATCCCAGGCTAGCCCCATCCGGTGACGCAGCCGAAGCTCTTCAGGCGTCGCGGGAGGCGTGGTTGTGGCCTTTCCGGGGCGGATCCGCAGCGTCTGCGAGGCAGGGTCGATCACGGCCCCATATGCTTCTACACGCGCATCCGCAAGTCCTCTGCCACAGGTGCGCCGTCTTCCACTTGTTCCAGTTTGAGAGCTATCAGCGATTTGCTGGGCACTTCGCGATCTTTCAATGATCGCCCCTGTGCACACTCAACCGCCGCCCTCATTGCTGAATATTCTGTTCTGAACCAGGCGCTGTTGTACGCCCAGTTTGGCGTCCTGCCGGTTCTGCTCTTGGCATTTTGGCTGCATACGCGAGCTCTCCCACACGCATAGCAACTTAGAGATCTCCTTGCGCATCTCAATGTCGCCCACTGGGTCAAAGCCAAAATCGGCCTTGAACACTGCCCGCATTTCCTCCCGCGACTCTTCCAAGCCCCCGAAGATACGCAGGGAGGTAACCGCAGATCGAAAAATTTTGGGCGGCCCCCGCAGTTGCACACCGGACTACCCCGGTTTCTGACCACTGTGCTCAGGCCACACAGCTGCAACATCAAACGTTCTGTGTCCTGACATGTTTAAGTCCTACTTGAAAGCAAACAGAACAACCCAACAAGGACTCCACAGATCCCTCTTTTCGCCCCTCCGGTTCCCTACGGTTCGACCCGCTGGATCCACTCCATGGACACATCATATGTCCGCGTGTCGCAAGCATCGTAGGCCAGGGCGCGCCTCTGAAGGGCGTGGAAAGCCTGAAGCTCGGTGCCTGCATCACAGGCGAGGTGCAGCTCCTGGTCCTTGATCGCCAATGAACCATTGTCCAAGAAGATCCGTTGCTGAGGTTTCGATCCAGTCAGCTCGGTCTCCCGCTTGATGCATTTGTGAGGAGCGAGATACTTGAGCTGGCGCTGCTCGAGCTGATGATTGACAGCGTCGATCACGCAGTGTGCCACCTCCAATTCTCCCTTCATTCGAGCGCCAGCCAGACGCGCCGCTTGCTTGGAAATGCGATCGTCGCGCGCAGCAGCATTGAGCTTTCGCACTGGTGCCTGGTCAGTAGCCTCAACCTTGTCCTTCAAGCTGTGGATGATCAATGCGTGGGCCTCAAAGATGAGCCGCTTCAAAATAGCGAGCTGCGCCAGGGGCACTCGGGTCCAACCAAGGTTGTTAAGGAAATCCTGCAGTTGGTCATCGGTGATATTCTGGCCAGGCGTGCTGAATCCATTGCCTTCCAAACCCTGCATCACATCTGCCTGCATGTTGAGCTCCTTTGCTCGCGCTTTGAATGCTGCTTGAGAATCGATCACCGATGTCATGGCGCCTCCAGGTATGCCCTGCAAAGTCAGCCCGATGCTAGTGAGCCACTGAACACGACGTGCGAAACTAGTAGGTCAAGGTTGGGTCCACCAATTGATTAACCGGCTTGCTAGCAAATTGCGCACTGTCAAGTACAAGTGGGCAACTGCTTTCTCAAATTTCTAGTTTTGCACACACATGCATGCGTTTGAGAAATCAGGAGGAAACTCAAATAGTGCTGGGGCAAATGACTGCAGGAAGCAAACTCTTCGAGACATGAGGCGATGGCTGTATGCTTGCTGCGGACAAGAGATTCTACTCATAATCGAACCACTAAACATGCAGAGTTTCGAATCATGCTGCGAACGCTGGCATATGAGCTTGCGGTTCCTGAGCTGGCTGTGATCCCAACAGTACGGCGTTCTTCCAATTCTATCGACCAACGTTGCAGAGGTTGGTCCAGATCATAGAGTAGGGCCCCAGGAGAGGGCGCAGGCAGCCACTCTGAACCTCAAGTTTCTATAATCGCGTCGAACTGGCAAATAATTTTCAAAACAACGGGCCAGTGGCCTAATGGTTAAGGCGTTGGACCCATGAGGCTGGGACAAGGAACCTCTTTCCATCCTTATCGGTCCAAACATTGGGTGGTTCGATTCCCCCCTGGTCCATGCAGTTTTGACTTGCACTTCAGTATTGTCAAAACACTGGCCAAGAAAGTTGCGCTTCGTATGAATGCTGACAGGCGCACACTTTTGTCTGCTTGAATATTCTCATGGATCAATGCCTTCAAACGATGTCTTGCAGATCGATTAGGATGAACGCTGCTGGCCGCATTCAAGCAATTTCAACATAGGTGCTTTTAAGGGACATTCACCACTTAGGGTCTGTGTTCGGACACTTCACAATGCTCACGCACCCACCTCCCCTGTGGCCCTTGTCAGGCAAGCGACCGTGAGGGGATGTGACCATTCTCCTGCCCTTCAACGAGCCTCAGTAATGGCCAAAGTTGTGTGACTTCATGACTGCTCTTGGTTGCGGCAACTGCTCGAAGATCAGGCTGAGCAGATGTTGGGAAGCAACCTGTAACGTGTGCTCATGACGCCGGCTGTCTTGTGAATGTTCGCTCCAGATTCAATAAGACAGGCGTGGTTGGTTCGCACGTTACACCCATGTGATTGGTCCATAGTACCTGCTTGGTGGTCTCAAGATTAAACACCCGTGGCGAGACGATCATAGTCGTTGGGTTTTCGCAAACAGGCGCAGAGCAATCCTGGTCACCGGTTGAATCTCACATGAGACCCTCTAGCATCTTCATTCGATGAACTATCAAGGTGAGGCTACGCAATAAGATTACTTCACGTATGGGCTGGTTGCTTCGGGCAGGACGCATTCGATTAGGGGCGGGGGCATCTATCTCGAAGCCCGCAACGCGAGGGCAAATTCACTGGCCTCTCTGAGAGAAACGGCTCGCAATGCACGAGCCCACGCGTCAAAGATTTTTGACATTTTCAACTTCGTGGGCACAATCATCGAGGGGGTTGCTGGCAAGCTTTTCCTGCGCCCAGCTGCTGACTTCATCCAATCGCTTGGAGATTCCTAAACCAATCAGTATTGTTCACCCAATGCTGTTACCCTCTGTTCCAATGTGGTTGGAGCGTGAAAGCGATTGACGCGGTGCGTCAGGCGGTTGCGTGTTGCGGTGCCCCATCATCAAGCTCACTTAGTGTCGGGTCTCGGTCCAAAGACGAAGACGATGCGACCGGCAGCCCAAATGTCGGTAACACGCACATGCGGCTGGCCTGTTGGGACGAACAGCTGAGATGGATTGGACCTCTCCAAGCAAACGAAGGCGGAAAACCTTGCTCCAATGAGGCTTCAGTGTGTCACGCTTGCTCCTTTGCAATGCGGCACTGATGGTTTGCTCGTCTTTATGACCTAATTCGGGAACTCGTGCAAATGGCTGGGGCCCTCGATGGACCCACGAATTTATGGGCAAATGCACCGCATCCTACCACTCGCTTTCTGAGCCCGGCGCTCTCTGAAACCTCCAGGGCTGTCTGGCACGATCGATCAACGGGGAACGAGCAGACCAACAAAGAGGTTCACAAGACGATAACACAGTGGGACATGTGAACTGCATTCAAGCTCAATCCCGCAATCAGGGATGGCCTCCATCAACACCAACGTGCCCATGGGGCGAAACTCCCACCTACTACGAAAGACTGGGTAGCATCATCAATCAAAATTGACGGCATCCACCCAAAAAACGGTCACAAACAGTTGCGAGACAAACCAGCCTCAGGCACGTCGTCCAGACGTCCTCCACACCAAGCTGCCTTGCGAGCCTGACACCTGCCCCTCGCAGCTGTGAGCCAAGCGTTCACAATCCAGGAACGTGTGATCTGCCAAGGGATCACCGCAGTGACTCATCTCACCATTGTGAGGAACGAGCACGACAAACACAGCGCATGGATTTTCACACCCAATTGGGACCATTGTTCCAAACTGATTTTTTTTTGCACGGGTAAGGGCGCTATGTGTGCCGAGAGGCACAAGTCGCCGTGTCGAATTCACTTGAGGGGTGAGAGGAAATGAGCCTGACCTAAGAGAGCAACAAAACCACACCCAAAACACACCAAAACCACAACCAAAAAAACCCAACCCACAAAGCAACAGAAACCAAGCAAATCAGGCTCATGTCCGCTCTAGTCTGAAAAGCCAAAAGGTGCAGATCCGAAGATCAACACAGAAGTGAAACGGGGCGATGAATTCCTTTCAAGCCGCTCTCAGTACAGGATGTCCAGGACGAAAATGCATTCTGCTTGTTGGTAGGAAGATGTCCCACCAGAGGTGCGCTGCGTATACTTGTGCATGAGCAAGACTGAAGGAGAGAGTGAGGTTCAAGCCAGGTGCTTTGTAAGGTCCAAGGCACGACACAACTTGTTCCCCAAACAGTTTACTGTTAGGGGTTCTCAATGCTTTAAAAAATGGTCGCCTTGGTGCTGGATGGTCTGGTCGGGTTCCCAGCTGGCTTGTCTCCCACTTCCTTTGTCTCCCAGTTCTTTTCAGTCGGGGTTCCCGGCTGGCTTGTCTCCCACTTCCTTTCATTTGCCTCCCAATTCTTTTCATTTGTCTCCGCCACTACTTCCTTTCATTTGTCTCCCACTTCTTTTCATTGTCTCCCAGGCTGGGTGCTTGTGGTCGGGTTGTCTCCCACTTCCTTTCATTTGTCTCCCACTTCTTTTCATTTGTCTCCCAGGCTGGGTGCTTGTGGTCGGGT